CCAGGACAGACTGCTCCCAAACACTGCTTTCCTGCTTGATACACAAGAAAATTATCAGACGACAGAAATCCTTAGGTGAGGATTTACAGAAAAAAGACAATACTGTTTCCAGAAAAGAAAAGGATAGCAGACTAGTGCCATCAGTAAAGATTTAAATTAAGCAAGGGTAATGAAGAAAGCAGATGAATCCTAGAAAATGACTGCAGACTGACACAGATATAACCAAATCCTAGCCCTGGTCATAGCTGCAGTCCCAGATATAATACTGTTGTTACAACGATTAGTTAAGCTTCAGGTATTGATGTGGTGAAGGTATTTTCCATTCCAATTACAAAAAGGTTCAGAAACGGTTTGCATTCATGTGGTGCAATATTAATTTACAATTTTTCACGTGGAACAATATTAACTTACAATTTTGCCTTACTCTCTGTCATAAAATAATCTGAAGACATACAGATCTCCTAACCCATTACATAGATGATCTCTTGCTGACTGGATAAAATGAATAAGAGAATAGGCAAGAGGTGGCTGATACCCTAGAGTTCTTGGTAACACATTCAGAAAGTGGGAGATAAACTCTATGAGGACTCAAAGACCTGCCACTTCAATGTTCTTTTATGGTTTTTTTTTAAATTTAACTTATCTTTATTGTTGAAAGTATTACAGATGTCCCCTTTTTTCCCCCCATTGATCCCCTCCACTCTGCTCTCGCCCCCTCCCCAGGCCTTCACTGCACCATTGTCTGTCCATGGGTTATGCATATATGCATAGAAATTCTTTAATTAATCTCTTCCAGCCCCACCCACCCAATCCTCCACCACTTTAATGTTTTTAGGGGTGAATTGGTCAGGACATCCCCGCCAAAGTAAAAGAAAAATACTTAGGACTTCAGCTTTAGGTCAAGATGTAATAAGAGGGATTGAATTTATCCTCCACCTAAAACAGCTAAAAATCAAAACAAATATATGAAACATTTTTCAAGAGATAAGACCTCAGGAAACAAAAGACAGTTTTAGGGGAAAAAAATGAGTGAATTTACACGATTAGCACACCTTACTGGTGGTACCAGTTGTCTGATATTATCTTGAGGAGAGGAGCTGGCAGTCTGGGGAGCTGAAGGTAGCTTGAGTTTGGAGAGCAGGAGAGACAGAGAGAGAGAGTGCTACATAGAGACAAAGTATGTTCTGGAAACCTATAGAGGGTCTCCTTTGAGTCTTCAGTTGAGTACTGATCATCTCATGCATGTAAAGAAACATCTGAAATCAGGGAAAGAACCATCAGAAAGAAACCAGCATCAAAATGAAAAGGGAACCCACAGTATGGGAAAATATACTTGCCAATGATACATCTGATAAAGGGTTAATATCCAAAATATATGAAGTACTCATACAACTCAACAAAAGAAAGACAAACAATACAATTTAAAAATGGGCAGAGGGCCTCTGCTCAGCCCCAACATGCAGGGCCTGGCCCCACCTCAGCAGCTGTCATACAAAGGGACTCCCCCAGTCTGGTGCTGTGCTCAGTACACTGTCAGCCAGGTCCAGCGCTTCCTCTGAGGCTGGCTGCAGGCTCCTGCCTCCCCAACCCCTCCGGGGCCCAGGACCCAAGCCTCTGTGTCCAGGAGCCACTGCCGGCCATCTAGCCAGCTAGGGCCTGTGCCCTTGAGCCCCACCCACTCCCAACCCAAACTCTTCAAATTGATGGAGTGTTGCCTGCCCAGATGGGGACGGCCAGACTGCAAGGGCCTGACGCTCTCCTTCTTCTATCCCATCTGCTATCACAGTAGCTTTTCCAGGTAAACTCCACAGGCCAGCCTCCTCCCTCCCTCCATGGCCATCCCCCAGCCATTTTGTACCATTATATAAATACATATAAATATAAATATATAAATACAAAAAAAAAAAAAAACGGTCAGAAGTCCTGAATACACACTTCTCTAAAGAGGACATAAAAATGACCAAGAGACATATGAAATAATGCTCAAAGTGATTAATCATCAGAGAGATGCATATTAAAATGACAATGAGGTACTACCTCACACCTGCCAGAATGGCTATCATCGATAAATCAACAAACAAAGAAGTGCTGGCAAGGATGTGGAGAAAAAGGAAAACTACTACACTGTTGGTAGGAATGCAGACTGGTACAACCACTATGGAAAACAGTGTGGAGATTCAGCAAAAAATTAAAAATGTAATTGCCATTTGACCCAGTGATCCTACTTCTAAGACTATATCCTAAGAAGCCAGAAACCCCAATGAGAAAAAAAATATGCACACCTATGTTCACAGCAGCTTTATTTGCAATAACTAAGATCTGGAAACACAAGTACTCATCAGTAGATGAATGGATTAAAAAACTGTGCTACATTTACACAATGGAATACTAGGCAGCTGAAAAAAGAATGATGTTATTACCCTTTGAGACAGCATGGAGGGACTTGGAGAGTATTATGCTAAGCAAAATAAGCCAGAGAAAAACAATTAACAGATGATCTCACTTATATGTGGAATCTAATGAACTGATGAACAAAAATGATCCAGAGCCATTGAAGCATGCAACAGACTTACGTATTTCAGAGGGAAGGGAGGGGGGTGGGAAGAGATTAACCAATGAACTTACATGCATATATGCATAGCCTATGGACAGACAATAGTGCAGGGAAGGCCTGCAGAGGGGACAGGAGCAGGGTAGAAGGGGTCATTGGGGGGGAAGGGGTTGGGAGGGAGGAGGGACATCTGCAATACTTTCAACAATGATAAATTTAAAAAAACATATATTTTTCACATATACAAAGGCTGAATGAATTCATCACCAGCAGACCTGCCATATTAAAAAAAAGTTAAAAGTACTTCATAAAGAAGGAAAACAATACCAGATGGAAATCTGGATCTACAAAAAGCAATGAAGAAAACTGAAAATGGTAATTATGGGTAAATATGAATTTTTTTTCCTAACTATTTAAAAGATAATTGACTGTTTAAACCAACAACAAAGATAACTTAATTGTGGGGTTTATAATATATGTACAAGTTAAATACATCACAATAATAGGACAAAGGTCAAGAGGTAAAAATGGGAGAATACTGTTGTAAGGTCCTTATACTTTATGTGAAGTAATATATCACTTAAAGGTAGATAGTGATGAGTTTAAGATGTAAACAACAAACCTTAATAAACCTCGTTTGTGGATTCTTTGGATCTCTACATATATAACATCTCTTATGAGTAAGTACAGTATTATTTCTTCCTTCCCAGTTGATGTACTTTTTTCCCCTTTTCTTGCCTTATTGCATGATCTAGGACAATGGCCAGAGTAGGTGTTCATCAGTTACATACTTATAAACACAGCTGCTGGGGCCCAACCCTTCGAGTTAAGAGTCATCACAACTTGGCCAGACAACCACAAAATACCTATTCTATGGAAATGTGCTTTTTATTTTTGATCTCAAGACAATTTATTTTAGTGGCAAATAAGTTCTGAAAACTGTAACACACAAAGGTTATGTTATGTCAAGCAGAATTAGAACTCTCATAACTTAACCTGCTAGATGACGGTTAGGGTAGTGCCAAGGAACCGCAGAATTTTCTCAGATTCCTGATTGAATTTATGGCCTACTAGAGGCCTGCATAGATTCATGCACCGGTGGGGTCCCTCAGCCTAGCTTGCGAGAATTGGGGCTGGGGAGGGACCGTGGGAGGGGCTCCAAGGCGAGTCTGGCCCATCTCAAACAATCCTGATCGGATGGACCTCAGCAGCAAGCTAAACTACCGGTTGGAACATCTGCCCCCTCATGGTCAGTGCGTGTCATAGCGACTGGTCTAACAGTCAAACGAATAAAAAACACATAGCATATTAGGTTTTTGAAATATAGGACTAGAGGGCCTTGCACGAAATTCGTGCACGGGGGTGGGGGGTGTCCCTCAGCCCAGCCTGCACCCTCTCCAATCTGGGACCCCTCGAGGGAGGTCCGACTACTGGGATCGGGTCTAAACGGGCAGTCGGACATCCCTCTCACAATCCAGGACTGCTGGCTCCCAACTGCTCACCTGCCTACCTGCCTGATTGCCCCTAACTGCTTCTGCCTGCCAGCCTGATCACCCCCTAACCACTCCCCTGCCAGCCTGATCGATGCCCAACTGCTCCCCTGCCAGCCGATTGCCCCTAAATGCCCTCTCCTACCGGCCCAGTTGCCCCTAACTGTCCTCCCCTGCAGGCCTGATCACCCCAACTGCTCTCCCCTGCTGGCCCAGTCACCCCTAACTGCCCTCCTTGCCAGCCTGGTCGCCTTTAACTGCCCTCCCCTGCTGGCCTGGTCGCCCCCAACTGCCCTCCCCTGCTGGCCCAGTCACCCCTAACTTCCTTCACTTGCCAGCCTGGTTGCCCCTAACTGTCCTCCCCCTGCAGGCCTGGTTGCCCCCAACTGCCCTCCCCTGCAAGCCTGATCGCCCCCAACTGCCCTCCCCTGCAGGCCAGGTCCCTCCCAATTGCCCTCCCCTGCAGGCCTGGTCCCTCCCACCTGCCCTCCCCTGCAGGGCTGGGTCCCCCCCAACTGCCCTCCCCTGCAGGGCTGGGTCCCCCCCAACTGTCCATCCCTGGAGGGTTGGGTCCCCCCCAACTGCCCTCCCCTGCCAGCCTGGTCCTCCCCAACTGTCCTCCCCTGCAGGCCTGGTCACCCCTAACTGTTTTTAAAAATAAATATGTTAAAACAAAATTTAGAATTAATTTTGTAAACTGCTTATGTTAAAAAGTGACTATTTTTTATTCATTAGAACTGCTGATCACCTATACCAGTGGTCGGCAAACCGTGGCTCACGAGCCACATGCGGCTCTTTGGCCCCTTGAGTGTGGCTCTTCCACAAAATACCACGTGCGGGCGCGCACGTACAGTGCGAAGTTGACTTAAAACTTTAAGTAAAGTTTATTAATTTTAGGGAATGTTGTGGAGTGAAAGAAGATGTAGTGTCGAGGATTGAGAAAGGTATGTTGAGATGGTTTGGACATATAGAGAGGATGAACGAAAGGAGATAGACGAAACAAGTATATAAGACGAGTGTGGATGGGAGAGTTGGAAGGGGTCGACCTCAACAAATGTACCTCAATCAGATTGAGGACGTTTTTAGCAAAGGCCAGCTTAGGAGTACCCTAATTAAGTTAATAACAATGTACCTACCTATATAGTTTAAATTTAAAAAATTTGGCTCTCAAAAGAAATTTCAATCGTTGTACTGTTGATATTTGGCTCTGTTGACTAATGAGTTTGCCGACCACTGACCTATACTATTTGCTGCATATGTTGACAGACTCCGCTATACTGCTAGCTGCCAAAGTGAATTCTGTGCAGTTCCTGCTCCTCGGAATCACAAGATTCATAGTCTGGAATGGGCGTGTCTGATTGGCAGCACTTGGATCATGTGCCCAAGTCCTACTTTTACAAAAGTTGGAAAAATGAAAACCTGCTGTTTTCAGCTTCCACTAAAACCCATTAGCTGAGGTATTCTCCAAAGAGGAGTTTATTCGTGGCTTGACTTTCTTGGTAGATATTTTTTTACCATATTGCACTAGGAGTTTAGTATAGCCTTGGGGCCAGCCTACCAGCTATTTTATATATTTTTTGGCATGCTGCCATACCCATTCATTTACCTACTTTTTATTTATTTATTTAGAAAAAAAAGTAATATTATTTAACAGTTTTCTGACTTAAATATTTTCACATAACAAAAGTTTTTATATCACCATATTATTTATATACATACCCAAAAGTGAACAAGAACAAAAAATCAAAAGATGCCCTTTCAAAAAGTAAGAGTGAAATGTCTCTGGGTTTTTTTTCCAGGAACCTGAAAGGGTTCCTCTCTTAATATACAAAGTCCGTACACTATTTATAATAAAACTGTCCTTTGAAACCAGAGAAGCAATGAGAGAACATAAAGGCAGTTATTTTTCAGAAAAACAAAAACAGCCCAGCTCTATCTTACAATGAAAAAGAGACCCATTTATTAATAAAATGAACACAATACTGGTCTGAAAAGCTCACAGGGAGGTAAAAGTGCTGATGCTCTCTCTGTAATGGGAGCATGCTTATATTTATAAAATATATTGTTCAGCTACATAGAGGTCCATATATATGTATGTACATATGCACTTATATATAGAACATATAAATAACTTCAGAGGGGAAATTCACATGAAGAGAGAACTTTCCATCTTTGTAATGCTTCAGGAAGGACATGCTGCCTCCGCACATGTTGGCTTGGTGTGGGACATGTTGAATGTGACATTTACCTACTTTTTAAATGGTTGTTTTCATGCTACAAAGGCAAAGTTAAAAACAGCTATTCAGGCCAAAAAAACTGAAACCATGCTCAATTCTTCTCTTTCCCTCAAATCACATATCCAATCCATGAGCAAATTATGTTAGTGCAATCGTAAAAATATTTCCATAATTGATTACTTCTCACCACCTGCATTATTATCACTTAAATCTGAGTTATGATTGTCTCTTCTCTGCAATGTGATAGCGTCTTACCTGATGCTCCTGCTTCTTTCTAACCTTGCTACCATACAGTCTAGTCTCAACCCAGCAAGCAGCCAGGGGACTTTTTAAAAAGTATGATAATGTCACTTTTCTGCTTCAAAACTTTTGGCAGTCCCCTTTCACTCAAAATAAAAGTTAAAGAATTTACAAATATTTAGAAAGTCCTACGTGATGTTTCATCCTATTCCACCACCATCACCTCTCTGACTTCATCTCTTACTACTCTCACCCTTATTCACTCTTTTATACTCAGAGTTCCTTGCTATGCCTTGAATGCCACCAGACATGTTCTCATCTTAGGGCCTCTGCAATGACAATTCTACTTGGAAAGCTCTTTCCCCATATAGCCCCATGGCTAACTCCATCATGTGTATCAAGCCTTTAATTAAGAGTTATCTCTACCAGCACAACATTGACCATCTTATTTAAACTGCAACCCAGCCCTAGCCAGTTTGGCTCAGTGGATAGAGCATCGGCCTGCGGACTAAAGGGCCCCAGGTTCGATTCCGTCAAGGGCACATGCCCGGGTTGCGGGCTCAATCCCCAGTGGGGGGCATGCAGGAGGCAGCTGATCAATGATTCTCTCATTGATGTTTCTATCTCTCTCTCACCTCTCCCTTCCTCTCTGAAATCAATAAAAATATATTTAAAAATTAAAAAATAATAACAATTAAAAAAATAAACTGCAACCCAGCCTTTGCCCCTTGTTCCCAATCTCTTTATTCTGTTATTTATTAGCAATTATCAGCTAACATATTATGTAAATTATCCTATATAATAAAAGCCTAATATGCTGTGTCCAACCATTCGTTCGTTCGTCCACTCGCTATGACGTGCACTTACCACCAGGGGGCAAAATGCTCCGACTGGTAGGTTAGCTTGCTGGTGGGGTCCGGCCTATCAGGACTGGACGAGAAGGGCCAGACACGCTCTCGACAAATCCATGCACCAGGCCAGTTTTGGCCTGATCCTCACAGGCTAAGCTGAGGGACCCCACTGGTGCACGAATCCATGCACGGGGCCTCTAGTTTATTATATTTATCTGCCTTCTACCCTCCCCCTTCTATTAGAACATAGGCACTTTTAGGGCAGGTGTGTTTTGTCTTGTTTTTTAAAATATTTTTATTGATTTCAGAGGGGAAGGTAGAGAGAGAGAGAGACAGAAACATCAATGATGAGAATCACTGATTGGCTGCTTCCTGCATGTCCCCCACTGGAGACCGAGCCTACAACCCAGGCATGTGCCCTTGACTGGAATTGAACCCAGTGGATCCTTTAGTCTGCAGGCCAACACTCTATCCACTGAGCCAAACCGGCCAGGGTGGTAACCTCCTGGTTCATAGGTATACACTCAACCACTGAGCAACACTGGCTGGGAGGTAACCACTTCTTCATTCATACTTTTGTACCCCAAATTCTACACTCCTTCAAAAGCAATTCCAATGAATTAAGCAATTAACAAGCTATGCTGCTAGATGTCAAGGCTTTAGTCTGTGTATTGTGGGCAGTTGTTTAGTATTCCCTTAAACCATGCTGCTTTTCCAGGTAAAAGTACTTAACAAAGGCACATAATGGCCAACATAACTTTGTGAACAGTTTAGAAAATTTCGTAAGGTTCAAAAACAGGCAATTTCAAATTAGGTAATTCTGCTCTTAAAGAGAAGTAGCAGCCAGGCTGGTGTGGCTTAATGGTTGAGCATCGACCTATGAACCAGGAGGTCACAGTTCAATTCTGATTAGGGCACATGCCCAGGTTTCGGGGTTGTTCCCCAGCAGAGGGAGTGAAGGAGGCAGCTGATCAATAATTTTCTCTCATTATTGATGTTTTTATCCTTCTCCCTCTCTCTTCCTCTCTAAATAAAAAATGTATTTTTTAAAAGAGAGAAGACTTTCCCATTAAAATGTGAATGTATCATAAGTAATATTCAAAAGTAAAACTGACAGTAAACACCGCAAGCCTTGCATGACATTTTCTAATAATATAAAAATTATGGCAGATTCACCTGTTCAAGGTGAATGCTTTCAATCAGCTCACAATTACTTTAAGAATCATCATAGCAAAATTAAAGCACACTGGATTATAAAAGCAGATTTCAAAAAAGAACTCTGGAAAGTGACAGTCTTTGCCTGTTTCTATGCATAGATTGGGATCTCCAACAACGAAGTTCTACTCATCCTAACTACAATTATGGCTTGAAGAATGTTACAAAAGATCAGCCCAAAGTTACTGAGACCTACTATGAAAAGTGCTATAAATCTGAAAAACTCAAAAGTGATTTAGGAAGAATTAACCAAAACTTTCATTTATTGCAACTATACAAAAGATAATCCAACAATCCTTCCCACTGTTTAGTTTTTGCTTTCTGATTTAGGAAATACACCACTTATTACAGAAACTTCTCCAAATCAAGGAAAACCTGTCAAAAAAATTTAAAAAATAAATCTAAGCACTCTATAAGGATATGTATGCAAGGTTAACAAGTTTTAGTTAAGTATTTGAAAACTAGCCTTAAGGTCAAATTAAAATCATTTAAGCTAACCCAACACTGAAAGTTTGAATCCAAGAACAAAATGCTGTAAAATTTCCAAATGACAGTGTGAAAAAGCACCTTCACAACTGATCTTTAAATATGCATCAGCCTCCACCAGAATTCATCACCTGACTGGATGCGACGTTTGAAACCGATTTTGAAAACTTTATCGTTTTTTAAACACTTGTACAGTATTTCTGGCACCTTTAAAGAGATGTTATCTCTTAATAACATGGCTGTTACACTTTACTTACAATGCCTATCTCATTTTTCAGTCTACCTACCTACGAGTAATATTACTCAGAAACCTACAGTTTTACCCTGAGAAAATAAGGATTTAGTAAATGGTGCTTTCTAACCGAAAACACTCGGAAGTCACCGGCAGGGACGGGTATGCAGGGAAGGCGGCAAGACTAGCAGGAAAGGTGGTCATCACCCGCCCGAGAGGAGGGCCCGGGTCGGGGACGCAGAGAACAGATACTCTGGCAGCAGGTGGGAGCCTCCAAGAGGACAGTCGCCGCAGGTTTCAGATCTGACAGGTACGCCGCCCGCAGGACAGCGGAAGGCGCGCCGGATCCGCCGGCCTTACCTCCGGGGTCCGCTCCGGCGGCTTCTTCTTCAGAGCTTGCCTAGCGCCGGGGTCCACCGGTGAGTTCATGGTCGCGGCCCCGGCCCCCGAGCTCCCCAGCCAGCCCTTAGGAGCGCACGCGACAGCCCATTCACCTTAGGCAGGGGGTCTGAACCCCCTCACCTGCGAGGAAGGAACTCCGGACCGCGGCGGTCACCCGGCTCAAGCAAACAAGCCTTCGCAACACCCGCCCAGGGTCTCAGCCCACGCGCGACTGGCCAGAGAAGCTAGCTCGGAGGAGGAGGGAGGGCGAGTGCGCATGCGCAGCGCGCGCGCGCACACAAACAAGCGCCCAAGGGCGTGACTCCGTGGTGACGTAAGAACTGGGGCGGTAGTTAACCCTCTTGCAACTCTTCTCCCTGAGATTTAAACACACGTCGCGAGACCTCACCTAAACCTCTCACGGGATCTGCCTCGGAGGTGAGGCTTGGGCTGCTCCGACTTCCGGTGGAGGCCCGGATACGCGCTGTGAGGGACTGAGCAAAAATAGCACGTTGAGGCCAAACGGTGGGGACGGCGTTTTAGGTGGAGTTGTGTTTGTACCCAGATCCGGAAGCTCAGGGCGTGGCCAAGCCCAAGGCCGACGCCCCGCCCTTGGAGAACGTACGGAAGTCGAAGCCACCTTCTGGCAAACAATTTCATGCTGCTTCGTATCTACGTTTCTAATGAATAGTTTGTGGAAGAGCCCCACCAAGAAGTACTTGTCCTAAGACCGATATCCTGAGATCGGGGCAGAGAAATCACAGCTTCGCGGCCTAGCAGGGGTGGACAGTCGCCTTGCCTGCTGCCAGCACAGTTACTGCTGGTTGAGAAGCCAGTCTGACAGCGTTCACATAACCAGGTCCAGGGCAGACCTCCATCCATCCAACCCCTTTATTAGGCAGCAGGGCTTCGGGTTGCCTGGATTAGAGTGACTGCTTTTGCACTACATTTGGCATACAAGTCTGTTTCCCAACAAACTGATCCATTGATAATAATAGACCACTATTGGGGCAGCTGGACACTGCAGAGGCTGTTTCCACCCTAAGATCATTGACGTTATTTCCAAACCCATCCTTCTGGACCAGTCTTTTGCACCCCTATCTCATTAATGCTCATATGGGCCGCACTGGTCACTACTTACTTACTTTGGAACCACCATAGGTATGTCCTTTCCACTGAATTTTAAGCTCCCCCAGGGGCTGTGTACCACATCTAGGTACATCTTACTATTGCTCACAGCAATTACCACAGCTCAATAAATTTATGATCATGACGTTATTCACGGTAATTTTTTAATGAGACGGTCAGAATTAAAGTTATCTTTTAGAGTAAAAAAAGGGAAAGGAGAGTTCAGGCTGCAACATTTACGTTTCTGAAACTTGATAATGGTGGCTGATGTTGATAAGGGTTTTGTTTTCCGTTGGTCGTTAGGCTTGCTCAAACTAAGTTTACAACATAATATTAGCACATTTCTTGAGTATTGGACAAAAACCTTACCAGGGTGGTTGTGGCTCAGACATTCTTGAAAGCAAGTTATTTTGGAGATATCATGAAGAATTGAAGACCCATTTTCTTTTTTAAATATATTTTATTGACTTTTTACAGAGAGGGAGGGAGAGGGATAGTTAGAAACATCCATGAGAGAGATCATCTGCCTCCTGCACACCCCCTACTGGGGATGTGCCCACCACCAAGGTACATGCCCTTGACCAGAATCGAACCTGGGACCCTTCAGTCCGAAGGCCGACGCTCTATCCATTTGTTGGGGTCCAGCCCCAGCAGGTCCAGGGATTCCCAAAGGTGTGGACGGAGTCGGCAAAGAATGAAGGACACAGAGACAGCGTTCAGTTGGTCAGCATCTAGAGGTTCTGTCTTTACTCTCCTGTTACATCTGTATTTATACCAGTTGATTTTAATACTATCCATTCTATTCCAAAGGTTAGGGCGTTTCTTATCTCCATTCCAAGGTTACTCTATTGTTCTATTAAGCTACAAGGAAGTAACTGAAGGAGATTATCCTAAGTAAAGATTATATAGCTTAAGCGTGATTGTTCATAGTTAAAGTGATTAACTACCCGTCTGGCACTTAGTTAAGGGGTTTTACGGATTTATTCCCTTCCTTAGTCCTGTTAATCCCTAACTCCAGGGAAAAAAATCCCCACCTGGGGAAACAACCTTTCTGGGAGAGGTGGTCCTGCTTAAAACACATAGCGCTAAGAAGGGGAGCAAACATATGCCATATACACCAGGTCCCTTGAAACATAATCTGTGCAGATGTTTCTTCTCTGCAGCGACTGTGTCAAGCAGCAAGGATAGACCGGATTCCGGCAAATTCCCCTTTTATTTTTTAGATGATATCGCGTGTAAATCAGCGGTCACCTCTCGGATTGGGTTAAGACTCGGAAGACCTGTTTGTGACTTTGCCAACAGGTCAGTCCAAGGCTTAACCCTATATCGGCTCCCCACATCCACTGAGCCAAACCGGTTAGTGCTGACGACCCATTTTCAACATTGTGTGTGTGTGTGCGTGTGTGTGTAAATATATCCTCTCAAAGGTCTGCCTAAGGTCATAAAGGTTATCCTTTCCATTCTTCACGGAACAGTGTCCAGAGCCACAACATTTTAAAGAGGGAAAAAGAAATAAAGCATGATGACCATTAGCTTAGACTTTAGGGAAAACACCTGAATGTGTGTCTTTAATAGGTCATTTCTAGTAAAACACTCCAGTGACGTTAATATCTCTGAACATCGGTTCTTTATATCTAAAACTAGAGTTCCGGTGCATGAAAATTCATGCACTGGAGGGGGGGTCCCTCAGCCCAGCCTGCCCCCTCTCAAAGTCCGGGAACCCTCAGGGGCGGGAGGCAACCTGGCGATCAGGGGAAGGTGACGCCCCATCACACCCCTGCTGCTGCCACTACCGGCAGCGCAAGCCTCGGCCAGCCCTGGTTACCTGAGCCTCGGGCAGCCCTGGGCAGCTGGGCTGTCGCCACCTGAGGCTTGCCTGCACCTCGGGCCAGCCCTGGGCGGCTGGGTGGCTGAGGGGACTGGGGAACTCCGGAGGCAGGCGTGCAGCGCGGCCCTGGCGGGGCTGAGGGGACTGGGCACCACCATCTTGTGGCTGTGGGTGCCGCCATCTTTGAGGGTGTGACAATTAGCATATTCCCTCCTTATTGGCTGCGGGGCCGCCATCTCTGAGGGTGTGACAATTAGCATATTCCCTCCTTATTGGCTGTGGGTGCCGCCATCTTTGAGGGCATGGCAGTCAATTAGCATATTCCCTCCTTATCGCCTGTGGGCACTGCCATCTTTTGCTACGGTGTGAGGGTCAATTAGCATATTCCCTCTTTATTAGATAGGATAGTAGCGCTGGCTGGTGTGGCTCAGTTGGTTGGCGCATCCTCCCAAGCACCAAAGGGTCATGGTTTCTATTTGGGTCAGGGCACAAACCCAGGTTACCATTTGATTCCCATGTGGGAGGCAACCAATCAATGTTTCTCATATCACTATTTCTCTTTCCCTCTCCTTTCCCATCTCTCTCTAAAATATCAAATTAAAAAATAAAATGGAATAAAGAACCTATTGCTTTGGGATTCTCTTAAGATTGTGAGATAATTCATGTGAAACATTTAAGATGTTGCCTGCCCATTCCAAGAACTATTCTATTACTTTACTTCTGAGAAGTGACTTCTCTAAAGCAGAAATCAAGTCTGAAGAATTCAATAGGTTTTTTTAAAAATGCCAATTTTTCCCATTAACTATTCAGGAATATATATACATATATAAGTATTCATGAAGATGTGGAGCAACAGGAACGCTCACAAACTGGTTATGTGTAAATTGGGAGACCACTTTGGGAAAGAAAAGTATCTAGTAAAGTGGAAACTTAAAATACTGTATGACAAGTCAACTCCGTGATATATATGCTAAAGAATACCCATGTACACCAGAAAAGTATCCTTTTGTTCATAATAGCCAAAAAAAGGAAATAACCCAAATGTCCATCAATAATAGGATGGGTAAATTATAGTATATTCATTCAGAGGAATACCAGCTACCTAGCATATGGATGATTCTCCAGCATAATGTTGAGAGAAAAAAGCAAAACACAAAATATGAAATATAATTACACAAAGTTCAAACACAAGCAAAATTAAAGTATATCACTTAGGGATGCATACACAGAGGTAAATCTATAAAGAGAAAGCAAGGAAATGATGTTCAAGAAGTCAAATTGGTAATTATAAAAATGAGAACGGGAGGACTTTATTGGACACATAAATAGGACACATGGAGGAGGGGGCTTCCGAGTTACTTTTCTGTGTATAATACTTCACAAGAAAAGATGAACTTAGTATATAAACATAACTTTATTAAGCTTTATTATAAAACACCAACAGTAAAAACTGTTAATATCCATGGTAACTACACATACCTAAATTTATGCACATTTTCAAAATCTAACTTGGCATTTACCATCTTATATTATGCTCTGATCTGCTGGAAAAAAAAGTGAGGAGACATGAAGCCTTTAATAGTTATTTCCAGATGAAAGGCAACCTCCAAAATAGGATTCACCAGCATTAATATGTGAAAGAAAAAAATGATTCTGATTGCAAGTAATTTTTTAAATTCTGGCAAAATAAAAACTGGTTGAATCTTAAGAGAAAAAAAATACACTATACATATCATGTATTATAGAATTGTATACCTGAAACCTGTAATTTTATTCACCAATGTCACCCCAATAAATTCAATTTAAAAAATTAAAAGAAAATTTGTCTAAAGAAAAAATGCTTAACTCCTTACCATACCCTATTTCATTTTATTATACCAGTAAGTCCTTCTCATTCAGAGTTACAATTCCCCAGCCCTCACTGCACCTTCAGGTCAGGTTTGGTCTGGTCCCACTTGCTATTCCACCCCTACCTTCCACATTGGCAAAGACACATGAAGAAATCCTGGATATCTTTACATCTGTCACCATATACTAGTTGGAAACCATTCTGGTCTGAGATACAAAATGGACCTGACAGGAAACACTATTACCTCAGATTAATTTTTCTGTATCTAAGTTTCTCATCAACAAAATCATTCCTCTATGCTTCTCAGACAAGTTAGTAAGAAAACAGCAAATTTAAACACAGGTACCAATTATAAACCTCTAAAATAACTGAAGGATGCTCCTCAAATATTTGCTATTTCCTCTGCTTTAAAACAGTGCACTTACTCTCTTTGGTCAAATATAAGAGTGATACGTGTAACACGATATGAAAACAGGCACTACAAAAACCCCCTGTCTAATCCTGCCTCTTGCCCAAATCAACCCAGCCTAACTAAGGCAGCTTCCCAACAGCCTACTCAGGGCTGAATCACTGCTGCAGAGCAGGCACTAAGAACAGATGGAAGAGCTGACTTCCCTACAATGTAGATGAAGAGGACAGACTTGCTCAGTCACATGCAAATCAGTGAACAAACCAGGATTAGAACCCAAAACAACTGGCCAATTTTTAATTGTAAAGTCAATAGTAATTTGTATTAAATACAATGTTCGTAACACATTTACATGGCTTTTTCTAGGTTTTAAATGATTTTCAGTTTAGCATATAAAGAAATTTTCAATTTGTCATTGTAAAGATTAGGTCAAATGTAATATACCAGTATTTTTATATACATTTCCATTTGGAAGACTCTATGTTAAATTCTCCCCACAACAGGTGGGGGCCATAGAGAGGAGGCTGGACAGATTGCTTAGAAACAGCAGCCACAAATTAAAGAGTACTTGGGGTA